CCAGGTTAAATAAAGGCTATTATTATTATTATATTTATAATTTTACAGAAGAGTAATGTAGCATATATTGTGATGACTACAGGCTACCTCAGTTGATGGTCGAATGCATTCTTAATGTTACATAAGTGTTCAAGAAATTCTCCTTGTGTATTTTTATGGGAATACATTATTTTAAGCTCTTAATGTTTCACTTGCGTGAGAGACCTTTTTATGAGGGTTAAGTATTGTAAACTTTATCACAACGTCGGTTTCAGGTTAAACGAAAGATTTATTCAATCGGCCTTGTATGGAACCTTGTTCCTTGCTAGGCGGATCCTGGGAGTTTAATAAAATTTAGTTTAGCAAATAATGATTAGCTCTGCATGACATTCGGTTCTAAGACAGATCGTACTTGTATATTATATAATTATTTTTGACTAACTACTAAACTAGATTTTAGGAATATTTTCAATATAATTTTATTCAAGCAACCTTATTTTGTTTCAGGGTAAAAAAAACAGATAGAACCTTGCTAAAACCTCTCAAAACAGGAAACAGTCAAAAATAGAAAGAACTTCTTGAAATTAAAAAAAAATGCAAATCTCAAAATTATTAGAGAATTAGGGTTCCAGAATGTTTTTTTGTTAAAACAGTCCAAACACATTGGCCGTTTATTATCACAATCATCGCAGTAGGTCACCACTCTCTTAGCTTTGGCTCTTGCTTTTTTTGACCATCTTTCTCTTTGTAATTTGTCGTAACAGGAAGTATACCGTATTCAATTGTTTCCAACATTACTTTCCATTTTCTTTATTTTATTTGTAGCTTTTTTATTTGTGATCAATATTCTTCTATTTGCATATCTATCATGTTTTTTTTCTTGTTTTTTTGTTCTTAGTCATGTACCGGCGGTGGTACACGACTTCCCTGAACAAGAAATATATGCCACAACCCTCGTGTACCACCGGTGGTTCATGACGAAAGACAATAAGAAATAAGAGAAACCACATAAAAGATAATTAAGTATATAAAAGACTATTGCTCACAAATACAAAAATATTCACTTCTTACAAAAAAAAATATTACGACTGTGCTTCCACACTATCGGCTACGTTGCAAAGTTCTAAATATCTGTTTCATTTATCCCGTGAACACAATAATAATAACTGTTTATCTTTTATAGTGACCCTCATGGTCCACCGACCTTATATAGGGTGTCCCAGAAGGCGACGTCAAGCCGAAACCGGGTGATAGGCCAAGTCATAACAGCTATCAGAAAAATATTTATAAAAATTTTATGTATGTGTTTTGAAAATTATAGGTCTCTATAGGAAAAAAATATAGAAATTTCACACCCTACGGCAGTCTGTCAACTCCTGTTACTACAAATATTAACTTTTTTTGGATTTTATTTTTACAATGTAATGATGAATAATGCATCTTCAAACTGGTGTCTCAACCTTACTGCCAACTTTTCTCGTTCAGGAAAAATTGCCACTTATTTCCCAACCAAGTATTCCAAAGTAAAACTTTGCTCAACTTTAACTGGCTGTACTGGACAAAAATGTAGTACGAGAGTTTGGCAAGTAACCTTAAAAGTTGGCGCATTTAATAAGGATTCCAAAATGGTATAACACTTAGAAGACTCGTTAACTTATGCACAATTTTTATTTGAAGAAAAACTGATGAAAATTTTTCAAAATTTCCTAATTAAACAGCGATTGTGAAACCGCACAAGGATCCTTAAGGATAACTGTTTGCACAACAGTGGGCGTCAAAATGCTGCTGATGATGATTTACCTTTACAGCAAATGCTCAAACTGTTTTCCTTCAGCCGCAATACACGCTCGACGTCTTCTTAAAAAAGATCGGGTTATTAAACGAGCGAATCCACGGTTATTAACAAACTCAGCTGCTTCCAATAGTCTTTGCCGTAGCTCTGCGACATTTTGAATCGGCTTGAAATACACTTTTTCTTTTACAGTTCCCCAGTAAAAAAATCTAAAGGATTCAAATCAGGTGATCGGGCTGGCCACGGTATTGTACCAGACTGCCTTATCCATCTGCCTGGAAAGTTTTGATCGAGATACTCTCTCTCACTGAGAGTGCATAGTGCGCTGGGCAGCCATCATGCTGAAACCATAAGTTAACGAGTAATCTTTTAAGTGTTATACCATTTTGGAATCGTTATTAAATGCGCCAACTTTTAAGGTTACTGGCCAAACTGTCGTAGTACATTTTTTCCAGTACAGCCAGTTAAAGTTGAGCAAAGTTTTACTTTGGAATACTTGGCTGGGAAATAAGTGGCAATTTTTCCTGAACGAGAAAAGTTGGCAGTAAGGTTGAGACACCAGTTTGAAGATGCATTATTCATCATTACATTGTAAAAATAAAATCCAAGTTAATATTTGTAGTAACAGGAGTTGACAGACTGCCGTAGGGTGTGAAATTTCTGTATCTTTTTCAAAGACCTATAATTTTCAAAACACATACATAAAATTTTTTTAAATATTTTTCTGATAGCTGTTATGACTTTGCCTATCACCCAGTTTCGGCTTGACGTCGACTTCTGGGACACCCTGTATGTACAGGGTGTCCAATGAGTACCAAGACAAACTTAAGGAAAAGGTAGGTTTTGGACTGACCCTCAAATAACAAAAACTTACCTATATAAAAGTGTCACCGTTTTTGAGATACCAAATTTTTTCTTAAATTTAAAAAACGGAACCTTTTCATCTGTGGTCTTTAGCTGCATGTACAAATAAGGTATATACTTTGTTCATTTTTTTATATAGTACTTCTAGATAGTTGCTTTGTCATATACAAATGCAAGGTAGTTAAAAAATATTAAGGAACCATGATAAAATAAGGACTGTTTTGGGATTTATAATCTTCTGGTATTGTTTCCTCAACTATCATAAAATCATATCAGGAGCAGGTAATAATAATGTAGCTTTGCACTATTTAGCATGTTACGGATCGGTAACCAGTGCAACTTGAATTTAAATCCAATAATTACTTTGCAGTGTGGGTTAGTCACTTACAAAAGCAGCTATCACTTTTTTCTATTCCAAATAGTACGTGTGGTGCCTTTTTGAGATCTGTATTCAATGAGCAGTCTTTTTATTCAACATGATGCAGTTATAGCCCAGTGGATTTTTGTTTCACCACAGATGGTCAAAGTAGAGGAAAAAATATCACAAGGTTATAAATCTCAAATAGTCCTTATTTGATCATGGCTCTTTAATATTTTTTAACTACATTGCATTTGTATATGATAAAGCAACTATCTAGAAGTATTTTATAGAAAAAATGAACAAAGTATAACCTAATAACTACATGCAGCTAACGATCACAGACGATAAGGATCGTGTTTTGAAATTTAAAAAAAATTCAATACCTCAAAAGCGGTCACACTTTTATATAGGTAAGTTTTTGTTATTTGGGAGATCAGTCCACTCCTCAAGTTTGTGGTACTTATTGAACACCCTGTATAGGAAATGAAACTCAGTGAAATGGGGCAAGTTATTGTGTCATTGTTTTCTAATAAATTTGACGAGGACGCTATTCATCAAAGCTCCATTTTTCCAAATTCCAACCTTAAAACTGCGACACCCCACTATCCTAAAAACTCCCTCGCACAACGAGTATCCGAACACAAAACTTCACCAACACCACGTCAACATCACATCATCTCACTTGCGGCCAATTCGGATGACGCGTAACATTTTCGCAACGGGAGTTACGGAGTTCGGGTCACGGACAGCGCGGAGTTCGGTGCAACTCCGGGAGTCGCGCGATACTGAAGTTTCGGATTTCGGTCGCCGTCGTCGCCGCGTTGCCGTCGGCTTGACGGTCACAGTAGGTTGCGCATAGCGCTTCTAGCTGATGGGTTCTTCAGAGGTTATGGCAGTTTGCAGACTAACCCTTTATCATACGGTGAACAAAGCAAGTTACAGAGTATTAAAAATTCGTGTCAGATTTTCTCGCGGAATACGAAAGTTTGATCGTATTTCTTATAATTTATAATCCAGGACTCTATTAGACGACGAGAAGGCCAATCTGCTGAAAATATCCCACATGGCTGAATTCTTTACCAGAGCTTCTTTTCAACATTACGAGGGATGTCTTTTAAGTTTTGCATATAGAAACATAGTAGGGCGCGCGGATCGAGCGTCAGTACTGAACCTTAACCTCACCCTTTAGTAAACTTAAATTCAAAGTTTCACAACAATACGTGCAGTGTTCTCACTACAGTGAATTTTTAAGTGTCACCAAGTCATTAGAAAAATGGAAGTAATTTTCGCGCCGTAATTTATTACAACTTCCAGAGACAGTTATCGCAACAAGAATGCCTTGCTGAGTTATTGTCTATTTTCGGCAACGGAACGCCACATCAGTTGATAATTTCCCGTTGGTATGGAGAATTCAAACGTGGACGGGTGAGTCTTGGCGACGATCCGAGGGTGGGTGCACCAAAAACGGCAGTCACCCAGGAAAACGTCAATGCTGTACGCAAACTCATCATTGAAGATAGACATGTGACATATCGCGAGATTGAGGCGTCCTTGAAGATCTCAAAGACCTCAAGTAAAAAAATTTCACATGAAGAATTAGGAGTAAGAAAATTAGTTTCTCGTTGGATACCCTACTTGTTGACTGAAGAGTAGAAAACAGCCACGGTTAATTGGTATCAAAAAACTCTTGACCGTTTCAAAACTCAAAAAATGTGTACAGCATTGTTAGTGGTGATGAATCGTGGATTTACTATTATAAACCAGAAAATAAACGACAGTCGGCTGTTTGGGTGTTCCAAGGTGAAGAAAAGCCAACAAAAGTCATCCGTTCTCGAAGTGCTTCGAAAAAGATGGTCGCGACATTTGTGTCAAAAGCGAGTCATATTGCAACAATTCCTCTTAATGAGCAAAGAACTGTAACTGCGGATTGGTATACCACCATTTTTTTGCCAAAAGTCATCACCGAGCTTCAAAAAATCAAGAAGAATCATCCTCCACCAAGACAATGCAAGCTCGCACACAGCCCAAAAAACAAGGCAGTATTTAACGGAAGAAAACGTGGAATTATTGAACCATCCTCCATAAAGTCCCGATCTAAGTCCTAACGATTTCTTTACTTTCCCAAAAATTCAAAACAGACTGCGTGGTCAAAGATTCTAGTCACCAGAAGAAGCAGTTGACGCATTCGAAAATGCCGTTTTGGATCTGCCAGCAAACGAGTGGAATAAGTGCTTCGTAAATTGGTTCAAGCGCATGCAGATGTATATTAATCTTCGTGGAGAATACTTCGAAAAACAATAAAGTCATTTAAAACTACCCACCGTGTTCTTTTATTTCCATATGCAAGGCTTAAAATACGTCCCTCGTATAAATGATTCATCAAAAGTCCCCATGAATCCAAGGTCACAAAGGCACTATTTTCCATATATCTTCGAAAATATCAACTCTACGATAAAATGACATATTTCCTTTTTTGTTCAGTATGAAATCCACAAAAATGGTTCTATGTACTTCTTTCGTAGAGACTGCCAATTTACAGAAAATTGCGTGAAAGTGATGTAATTCACAAAAATCCAAAATTTCACGTCAAACCGTATTTTGAAATCGTTTTCTTTTTTAATGTTTCTGGTAGGGCTCTATAAGTGTCCTTTGTTGTGATCTAGAGCACAGCTGCCCCTTTTTTTCTTTGTTAGAATGTACGTCACTGTATATCTAACTGTTGGTCATTGACGTCATTTGACCAGTCTTCAGACTAGTATTCTGCTATTCTCAGTTATATGCAGACACGTCGGATAATTTCAGACAGTTTTTACGTGATATTATTCACATATAAATTGAAAAATGGCTAAAAATTGCATCATTTGCGGCAAGTCGCTGTCAGACGGAGCGACTGTTTGGGTCGAGCACGGTAGTAAGACCTTAAGTGACGCCAGTATCCACCGAAATGATAGAAAAATTACGTTTTTGTGGAGTGTTGAATCGATCAGGGTACAGGTGGTGTGTCGCAAAGGATATGCTGGTGCAAGTAGCACTACTGCTGCTAAAAGGGAGCGAGATGCAGAATCCAGCACCTCGACCGCTAGCCCTCCTGGGCGAAGAATGCGTTCCATCGAGATGTTACATATTCTGATGCTATTTTTGATTGTTATGTTAATTATCTAGGAAAACATTTTGGTTGGAACGTTACGGTTGTTTTCGGCGGTTCTAACAATCAACGTAGTAACACGAAAGCCATGGAACAACAACGACGATCAGAGCAAACGGGTACATGCACAGAAATTATGTTTGATCCATCAATGACTCTGAAAACAGACAGCGATTTATAACAATGTTGTCTGGAAAGTCATATAAACGTCGTGCAAGCAGACGATGATGCTGATCTTATTATCAATACTGCAATTGAACTGACGAATGAAAATCGAAGTATAATTGTTGGGAATGATGTAGATTTATGTCTTATTGACAGCTCTTGTTCCTGAGAATGAGGATATTTATTTTATGAAGCCTGGAAAATCAAATATCGACGCAATTGTATATTTTCCAAAAAGTTTGGGTGCTCACATCACCGTTAAGCTGTACATTTAATTTTTGCATTCTTTGACAGGATGTGACACAACATTTGCTCCCTTCAATAAAGGCAAGGCAAAGGCCATTGAAATTTTTCAAAAGAGAGCTGTCATCAGAGATTCAGCAAAAGTATTCAATTAGGAAGGATGTCCTCCAGATACTATTTTCACAAATGGTATCAAATCATTATGAGCGATATATGGTGCTCCACCGCGCGAAGAATGTCTTGACCATCATCGATATAACTGCTTCGCGAAATCGACAAGGTATAATAAAGCTGTTAAGCTTTCAATGTTGCCACCAACATCGAGTGCAGCTCAAGCACATTTATGTATTGTGTATTTTCAAGTTCAGACATGGCTTGGAAAAAACAAATATTTACAGCCCATAGAAACTCTATTGCCACCTGCTCCTGCTGTCTTATTAAACACAATCCTTTGTAATAGTACGAAAGGTTGTGGAGCTAATTGCGGATGTAGGAAACTTGACCTACACTGTTCCGCCATGTTATGTCGAGTCGAATAATGTGGAATTCGTTGAGTATATAGAGCCCATGAATATCCTCAACACTTGAGGTTAGCGAAGACTTAGATAATGCCGCATCATGTCACCTTAATAACTAAGGAAAAAAGTAACAATAACATCATTTTTCCATTCTATCTTCGTGGATTAGGCCTATTGGGGAATCCGCATGAAAAAAAACGCGATTATTACGCGACAATTACAATTTTCGCGATGCTCAACATTGAATGTAAAATTTCCTTGCAAATAAAGATCTCTATGAAAGAAATGCATACAACTTTTTTTGTGGAGAATTTTGTGCTGAACAAAAAAGGTAATCGCTTATTTTATCATAGAATTGATATTTACGAAGATATTTGGAAAAATGTGTTTTTGTGACCTTTGACCCTCTCCATAAGACAGAGTTCCACTTGGATTCATAAGGACTTTTGAGGGATATTTTATAATGCTGAAAAACAGCTCTGGTAAAAAAATCAGCCAGGTGGGATTTTTTCAGCAGAGAAAGTCTAATAGTCCTGGACTATTAAGGAACTTGGTGTTCTGCAGATTAAAGGTATTCTAACACTCCATTTGTTGACACTCACAGGACTAATAGTAGTATTCCTGTACTGCCGTACTATGTAGTCCTATGGAAATAAACATTATTTATTTATTTATTTAAAAAATCATTTAGCTACAATGCTATTAAATTATAGAATGATTTGCCTGTTATATTTCAAAATTACTCACTTTTTAACCGTAAAGGAGGTTTAAACTAAAACACACGCCGAGGCCTGGTGACGAACACAAAATGCTGAAAATATGGACTATTCTTGAAATTGATTCTATTTTTTTGTGTTGTTAATTAGTTATTATTAAGAATTATGCATACCTTTCTATTGGTTCTATGTTTTATTATATTATTTTTTTTGCTCATTCAAAGATCAAGTTGAAAAACGCTACTCTTAGCGATGCTTCGCTTTTTTTGTAGCACTTATTATTATTATTATTATCATTAAGTGCAAGGACCGCACACTACACATAAAGCACGCGTAAAACTACGTGGAATTTTGGAGGCCGCGGGGTATTACGTAAAAGATATACAGGGAAAGCCAAATTTGTCTGAGCTCAATGTGTACGAGAGAGGAGCGCGAGAAGTGTGTATCAATACATGCTAGAAAGAGATAGAAGTCGGTTAAAGAGCGGAGGTAATCACCACATTGCCTAGCAACGGTGACGCATAAGGTCGTGCGAGCTGCTGCGTTGTCAATATGTTACACTAGAAAATGTACCCACAGGCCGCTACAACAGGTTAGGCTACTGTCAAACCGAAGAAGGAGGTATGGTAAAATCAACACATCCTTCTCCCTGCGCATATTCGTCAGACAATTTCTGACAAAAGGGCTGCAATCAAGCAAGCGACGAATCTTGTTTATGAAGTGAAAAATGCTCTCCATGAATTCAGCAATGCAAGTTGGTCAGAAACGGAAAGCGATAATAACTCCCGCACATCCACGGTCCTGGGGCATAGTCTCCAGGACAGAGGACAAGAACGCACCCGTGGTGTAGGTAAATATCAAGTGGATTGGTTTGCCGATTCGCTGATAGATATCGTTAAAGATCATTGCTTAAGGAGCACAATATGTCACACATTTTTACATCAAGAAAAATATCAAGATCGACGCCTAACAGAATCTGTTTGCTGATGAAGACAACAGATGTTCCAGTGATACAAATTGAGCTTGCCGTGTTTACATGCAGATACCTCGTGCGTTGAAGGTCTAATGTATTTACGGAAACAAATTATTCTTTTGAAGTGAGGTGAGGTTTCGTGTTCCCCAAAAAGTGAGGTTAACATTGTGATACGTCTAGTATTTTTTTTTCAGTCTGTACGAAAGTTGAACAAGTTTTTTTTGTAAATTTGAAATGTGTTGTTACCGTACTGCTTTATTTGTATGGGCCTCCTAGTCCATTAGTGCCTGATGTGGATTGTGTTAATGGCTCATCGCAAACAGGAGCAAGGATTTCTGTTCGCTTTTGCCTTGCTTTATTTTTGCTACTGAACTTGAAAATAAAGTTCCTTCCATGTACTGCGACTGGTTCATTTGGAAACTTTCCACCACTGATTTATCGAACACTATTGATTAAAAGAAAAAACGTCAAAAGATTTGTCACGGGGAACAACTTTTTAACCAAAAACTACTTCACCCCCTACCATCCAACCCGAATTTTTTCCGCATTCTCTTCATCAACACAAATATCCTGGGCGAACTGTATTTATTGTTATACCTGGAAAATATACATATATGTTAGAAAATACCATCAATCCACTTATCACAAACCAAATCGAAGAGTATCGAAACCCTATACCTACTTGATGAGGCATACATTTCCATCAAGACGGCGCTCCTCCTCACTATGTTCTTCCGGTTCGGCAATGGCTAGACGACGAGTTTCCAGATAAATGGATAGGGCGAACAGGGACTATAGAATGGCTTGCTAGATCTCCTGATTTGATGCCATTAGACTTTTTACTGTGGACATTTGAAATTTATTGTGTTTACTCCCCAACCCGAAAGATTGGATGAACGACGTCATTACATAATCGAAAGCTGCCATGATATGCCACAACATGTTTTTGAAAACGTCCGTCAGAAAACGAATCTACCGATTTTTAAAGTCGAACGTAAAAATAAAGGACTTCGAAAGACCTTTCGAACAAGCTATCACTTGATACCCTTTGAAATTTGAAATTTTTAAGGGCATGATCCTGGGGGGCAGAGGGTGAAAGGGGGTGAAGTATTTTTTGGTTAAAAGGTGACAAATCTTTTGTGTCAGCGTTTTTCGATAATGAACATCCTGTATAAAAATGTACCGACGATAAGCTATGTAATTGTTTCTTTTTTCATTGCAAAATCATAATAGTGGTAGTGTTAATAGTTCTAGAACTTGAGGCATGACAGCGGACAGATCCTATACAAATATAGCCCACTTACTGAGACGTTGAACATTTTT